CACCCTAACTAGGCTGTAGTGAGTATTTAATGCACTACTGCTTTTCTGCCACTGATTCAATGATGTAATCCTGGAATAACCAGTCAGGCACACTTTGCAATGTACTCTGATAAACTGCTTGTGCTGCTTATCCCATGAACCTTGTTTTGGATTTCTCATTTATCTTATTTATGGGTCCCTGAACAGTTGCACTTGTCCCGGGATAAAATGGCTCATCCCGGGACAAGTACATCATCTGTCCACTATCATAGAATGGGGAAGTTATCACACTATAGATCCAATGTTAGCAATGCAGGAACCTTTGCTATTCCATAAGCATATGAATAGTGAAGGAAATGTATGAAACACTGTAAGCTTGAAAACGTACTGTTTGCAAGCCAATGCAAGGGTGTCTTTTGCTTTTTTTTCTTTCTCGTTTTTTAGCTATTCCATAACACTGTTGTGGACACATCAATAGTGTTTCCTCATCGGCTAGGTTTGCCTCATAAAAGAGCACTTAAAAATCTAACGGCTGATTATCTCAGAAGAATTATTCAAGATGATGGTAAGAGCCTTTGAGGTTTTTATGTAAGTTGTACGCATAATGAACGGAAAGAACTAAATAAATCGAGTTGCCCTTTAAAAGCTTGTCACTTGTCATGGGTACTTCTGCCTTTCTGCTGTGTCTTTCATAGTAAGGACAGAATACTGAAAATGAAGATGTGGGGCAGTAGTTCTCAGCCTTTTTGGACTTGAGACACCCCCTCCATAATTTTTGTGAATTGAGTGGCACCCAGTTTCAAAAACCTATTTATATATTATGGTCCTTATCTCTAAGTGTTTTGAGCAGAGAGGTTAGGAAATCCTTCAGGCAGTGACAGTCTTGTGCTGGTGTTTATCCACCTTGCTTATCTCTTCCTTCCTGCATTCTCCAAAGGATCTGGTGGCACCCCAGGGTGCCCAACATTCTGGCTGAGAACCACTGATTTAGGGTGAAGTTGTCACTCTCTTAAAGTTCCTAACTATTTTCCATTTGTAGGAATGGCCTAAAGAGACTACAGATCTGAGTACTCTTATCAGCATCTTAAACTAGTTGCATGTCTTTTCTTAAAAACAACCCCCCTCCCCCCCAGATCTTGGAACACTTTTTCCCATATCTAAAAATTGGTTGTTTTTTTTTTTTAGTTAAATCCAACACACCCCAACCCCCCTGCAGGTTCCATGCCTAGGCTTTAGTCATTTTGTTAATACATAATATTACTTAAGAGAGTTGCTTCTAATCCAATAATTAGTATTTTTCCTTTTCCAGGGTTCAGGTTTAAAGTAAACTTTTAGAATTTAATTTCGTATAATTTGTCTCCAATGTGTAGATGCCTGTAAGCAATAATATAATATTTTGCAGCTCTGAGCAGCACTCCAACCAGATTGTTTCAGAGAAGTAAAATAGCTTTATGCAGACTTGTGTTTTTACCACAGACTGCTTCCAGTTCCCCAGGCTAGCTTGCATAGCAATATGCCACATGCCTACATTGCATTGGGCGCATCTGAGATGCTACATCGCCATGTAGATGCACCCATTGTAACAACCTTGGATTGTTTGTTTGGTATGGTAGGGTGCTCAACCTTTTGACCCTATAGCCCATCTGAGGGGTATGGGGCCAGTCTGGGCTGGATTGGGCTCTGGGAACCCTGCACTTCCCTTACCCAGTCACACAAGCAAGGATCAAGCTGTAAGGCCCTTGTGCTGCCTCTGCCCAGCTTTGGAGCCGTGAGAAGCCCTGTGCGCCAGATGACATGGCACTGGGGACTGAACACCCCTGTTCTTTTGGCAGTCTCTTGCTTTTTTTTTTTTTTTTTTTTTTTTTTTTTTTTTTAAATGAAAAGAGGATGCTGGGAGGGATTTAAGAGGGTAAAAAGATCTTAAGTAGAACTAGATACAAGCTTAATCTATATTACATGGAAGATTTGTTTTGACTATTGTGGCAGCTGGGGTGCCTGTGGCAAGGCAACATGACTGGCTCAGCAAGTTCACTGCCAGTGCTAGCCAGAGGTTTTGGCTTGGAGCTTGCTCAGTGGCAGTGGGGGCAGCAGCGGGAGGGGGAAGGAGACCTTGTGCTGCTAGAGGCAGGGAGAGGTTCACATGATTGGGTGGGGGGTAGGGAGCTGTTTGTGGGG